TCGTCGCAAGGCTCCACGGAGATTCCTACAATCCCGATTAATAGACTGAAATCTTTATTGCGGTTGTCCGCCGCAGCGGTTTGCAATCGAGGGAATTTGACGTAGGCAGTAATTAGCGAGCGCCGGATCATGGATCCTGTGCGACTCTCGTCCCTAGCTGCGGGAGGGCCGAAGCTATTCCCGCAAATTGGGGGTTTCGATGCCGATTGTATCTACAGGGTACACGTCCTGTGTACCGGACGGCACGACGTTAATTTCCCTCTGCTTATACGAGCTATCGATTTGCGCCATTACGCACGGCAAACATCATTTTCATCAATCATTGAATTACACCTTAATGAACGGCTCGGCATCCCAGAGCCTGCGGAATCGATGCGCCGCTTTTTCCTCGCGCAACTGTAACGCCCGCCACTCGGCTGTGTAATGGGCCAATGAGGACCTAATAGTCCCGCAGGAAATTTATTGGACGTGTCCCGTTCGGCGTACAAGATGCTTCTAAGCAGCACTGCGAGGCAGTTTCACTGTTGGCCTTGTGCTTCGAGCGTTTAACGTTTGAGCTTTGCTTTTGGTTTTTGCTTGTTTCGCGAGAACTTCGTTTGGGGACGAAAGTTGTAGAAAATGGAAATTAACCACTTGCGAAATGAATTTAGAGGTTTGACGAAGTCTCGCGCGATGAATTTTGCTTTTACCTATTTTACTCGGATGTGGATGTTAATTTCGTTTATCATTTTGTATAGAGTGATACATTTCGGAATAATCTAATGTGTGTAATGCAACGAGATTATCAATGTGTAGAAGACATCGGTGACCATTTTGAAACAGAAACGACTCGACGTGGCACGTCTTTCCAGCACAAGAGGTTAAGAGGATATTCTAATACTACGTTTATCGATGATTGGTAATTTAATGATTATTTGGGAGATTATTATGCATTATAGATGAGTTGCATATTTTGCGTTGTGGTCAGAGTTGATATTCTTCGTTGTTATTTCGGTGGATCTTCTTTTTTGAGGGCGGAGATTGTGCAATGAAAATATAGAGAGGTGATGATTTAACTCTTTGCCCTCGAGAATATTTTTCTCAATAAATATTCATTATTTTCTGATGAAATGTCAATGATATTTTTTGCAATTAACATAAAGAAATATCTTGCATAAATTAAGTGACTATTTTGTTTCGATGTTCCATGTGTTCGTACATTATATAAAATTTAATATTGAATTTTCAATTTTACAATTTTCTTGGGTCAAGTCAAATGGCGACTGGAAGGCGCCTCTCGAGTGCAAAGGGTTAATAACTGGTTTGGATATTTTTATTCAATACGATAGATGAGTTGGATATTTTACATTGTGTTCAGAGTTGAAATTTTTGTTGTTATTTCAGTGGATCTCCTTTTTGTGAGGATAAAGTTTGTGTAATGGACATGTAGAGAGGTAATGATTTAATGATTATTTGGGAGATTTCTATGCGATACGATAGATGGGAAGCATAGTTTGCATTGTGTTCACAATTGAAATTTTTTGTTCTTATTTCGGTGGATCTCCTGTTTTGAGGAAGAAGACTTTATAATGGAAATATAGAGGTAATTAAATAAAAAAATAGTTCCACGAGTATTGTTTAGAATAGAAGTCGCTTGAATGGAGCGTCATGGATGCAAATCGGTTGTTTGTTCCACGCGGTAAATGTGTTTACCGTTGCGCCTTTATTCGGCATGTTTATTTTTTTATAGAGACACGCATTCTACTTGTAATATCCGAGTTACAGAGGACAGACGCGTAAAGTTTACGACAATATAACTTAAGTCGTTTTACCGTACGACCGTCAGAGTAATAGGACACCTATTCTGTTCGAAGAAAATGTAAAAATCTCCAAGAATATACGGGGAAACCCCTTGGCACGTGTTACTCGCATCGCGCCGTCTTTATTACCTATTTCGCGGTCTGCAACGTAGAATTTCATCGAAGGGAAACACCGTTGAAATGAATTTTCCTGTCGAGATAAGAGCACTTTAAGGAGCCGATTAGAAATTGATGGTTCGCCGTGATTCCTCCGTCAACGTGAAATCCTTCTGACGGAGAAATTACTTGGAAATGAAGACTATTCCTTGCGATCCTCGATTTAACAACAATAAACGAAGAAATAAGAAATCTGACTCCACGCTTCTCCGAATGAAATGTTCAGATTTGGAAGACTGAGCCGTGGATAAATAATCTAATTAGTCGAACAGCAAGAGATCAGTACGTAGTTTTCCTTTTTTCTATTAATTAAGCAATTGATATATAATTTAGCCTCATATGTTGAAGGTTTCGTGTGATTCGAAGAATCTTCGTCAGCAAAGAGTTAATCATCCCAATGTTAATACAATAAATTTCCCATTCAAACTCCGCAACTCGGCATTCATTAAAATTATTCCAAATGAACATAAACATAATAATATAATAATATAAACAATATCACGGTTTAATCCTTTGCACTCGAGAGGTAACTCACTCACTTGATTTCATACAGTAAAACAAGAAAATTTGATATTTCATATTATACCTCGTATAATGCATCAATTTGAGAAATACTGAAATGAAATAGCATTGTTCTCCAATATACATGTGAATTCTCGAGTTAGTTTCACGAAATATCGTCTTTATCTCACTAGAAAGTATTAAAATATTTCTAGTGAAAAACTTCCGAGGGTTAGTTACTATAAAATTTGATACTTCATATTATATCTCGTATAATGCATCAATTTGAGAAATATTCAAATGAAAGTCGAGTTAGTTTCACACAATATCGTCTTCATCTCATTAGAAACTATTAACTCTTTGCACTCGAGAGGTGACTCTCACCATTTAGTTTCATATGACAAAATTCCAAAATGTCATATATAACATTAACTTCTGCATAATGCACCTGCATGTGAAATATTTCTACAAAATATCTTTGTTTCTTAATTGACATATGTTTCCTCATTAGTTCGTTTCAAATGCCTTCTATGTTTCAACGGAACGTATCGAATGTTTCTAGTGAGAAGCTTCCGAGTGCAAAGGGTTAAAATAATTCTAGTGGAAAACTACCAAGTGCGAAAGCTTAATAGAACACGGCAACCTTAGAATCTCCGTTCGCTTCGATATTCGAGGAACGTACTCGAAGTGAAACCAACATAAACATAATTAACGATGCAGCGAGTATTTCAGTAGCACGGAACGCAACAATCCCCCAGCAAATGAACGAGGAAACAAGTAGAACAGCCGGAGATACGGCGAATAAAACTGACGACAGGACTCGCCGAGCTCGGTTAACAGGTTAAGATTAGAAGATTCCGGCGTGGATCAGATTCGTTCCCGGATTACCGGATCCGGATTTATCGCGGCCGACTTCTCCAATGTAAATTCGAGCTTCCCCCGAACGTTCGCGCGGAAACCCGGCCCGAAACTATTCGAGCCCGCCCCTTCCGCCCCGGGAGCGTCACTTTCGCTCGGCGGCCGCGCGACGCGTTTGTTCGTGAAACAAAGATGCCATTTCGAGAATTAATTGCGTCTGGCCGCGGCGCGCGGCTCACTCGCAAGTTTTCCCTTTGAATTTCGAGGCGATTGTGCCGCCCAGTTCGGAATCGTATCAGTTTTCAAACTGTTTACCCCCGAAACTACCGTGAAATCCGAGACTCGTCGAGAAACGGCTCGGGCCACTGCCGCCGGAAACGTTAAGGAACGTCGAATTACGGGGACGATCCGGAGTTTTACCGTGAGCGAGACTAACGCCAATACTTTCCTTTTGTCGTTCTCGAGTGAAGAATATTTTGTGAATGGTCACGTGACAGAAGCTTTGGTAGAAATTTCGAATGTAGAGATGGTGGACGGAGACTGAAGGTTTTTGTAAATACTGAATATATTGGAAATAATTCGAATATTGTATCTTTTACTGAATAATATATTTTATAATGTTGTAGTTAGGTATCATTTAAAGGGAAGCTTATATTTGTGGTAATGGATGTATTTGAGTGTGAGGATAGATATATTGATGAGTGATGAATGTGTGTGCAATAGATGAATGACGCGACTGTGTGTGAGCGCATTTTGAATGAATGTTCAAAGCATTGGAATATTCTAAATTGATTTTCTCTGTATTGATTTTTATGTTAATAATGTTCGTTTTTATGAATTCAGAATATTCCAAATATACGTCATTTTCTATAAAAATTCCGAAATTTCAAGGAATCACTAAAATTCATAGATGCTCACAAGTTATAGTAAACGAAACTCGATCAATTAACATGTATTCATTGAAACATCACAATGCAATCACTAAAAACCAAAAACTAACCAAACCTCTTTCCACCCCAAAACTTAACATCGTTTATTTTGTTATTAAATATCCATCGCAATTTCCCCATACTCCTAATAAATCAGAGTCCTGTATAACTGAATTAAAGCTCCAATTATTAACTCCATGTTATATAATATAATTTACGAATCTCGTGCAACTCAGTTCCCCTTTGAAGTTAATGCATGGTAATGAAAGAATGTTCTAGAAAGTGTGCGAGTGAGACAAGAGCATCTGAGTGTATAAATAGTGTGTGCGTTTGATTTGTGGATTGTTTTATTGTGAGTTGTCGCGAAATAATTATACTGTTTTAAATAAAATTCTTTCTCCTACATATTACGTAAAATGAGAATATATGGAGCACTTATAGACAAGCTAATGGAGCTTCAGTTACTGTCAAAATTTGAACATAGAAAATGTTTCTATGGAAGGATTTCATTTTATTTTACGTCGAACTTACTTGATGGTAAGTCATTAAAACGCCTGAATGCTTCTATTATTAATAAAAACTTTAACAGCGAAGAATCTATGGGAAATTCGATAGGAAGGAATCCCGAAGCGAATAAACAGTCGTGTCTGTTACCAGAGTTTCTCGAAGGAAACGAGAAAGATCGGCCGAGATCGTAATTCTATCAGCGTAAGAGGTAGTTAGTGGCCGCAGAAAGAGAGAAATATATGATATTTACCGCTGATCCACGTGCCGTTGAAGCTCTTCGGGGATAACGAGCCGGCGAGCCATTCTTCAAGGGAGATGCCAGGTGCGGCTGGCGTCCTCGTGCCGGAGGAGTCCGGGCTTCCGGTTAAAAGAATCGTCGCAGTGACGACCAAGCCGAGCACGACGGCGATGATCAAGCCACCGGTGAGCAAACGCCGCCAGTTCCTTTGCTTGTTCTTCGTCATCAGGTCCTGCAACAGTTGCGTGAAATCTATGGTTAATTCGAATCTTTCTAGTTTGGTGAAACTGAGTTTCGAACTTTTAGACAGGAAATATTATCGTTTAACACGTTGACTGCTACAGAAAACATCAGTGGTTTATGTATTGCTTATTTTTTCCGTGGCGAAGGTTGAAAGGAAGAATTATTAATTATTGCTTTTTAGTTATTGTATAGTAATACTGATGTTACGTTATTGTAATTTGGATAATTTATTTTCTTGTAGTTTAGATGCTCCGTTCATCGGCCCCAATGGCAGTCAACGTGTTAACAGTAGAATTATCAGGTCGGATATATTGTTATTCTTACTGGTACTATTAATGTTGAGAAACTTTGAGAAACTTCATGATATTTTTGAGGCAAGAGAAATAATAATGTTAGTATTATTGTAATTACTGCTATTACTGTTATCGTTGATAATCATTCTTACTGGTATTATTAACGTTGAGAAATTTTGACAAACTGAATAACATTTTTGGGGCAAGAGAAATAATAGTATTAACATTACTGTAATTACTGCTACTACTATTGTCATTGTTCATAGTTTATATTTGTCATTTTTACTACTATTATTAATGTTGAGAAACTTTGTGAAATTTTATGACATTTTTGAGGTAAGGGAAATAATAGTGTTATTATTACTGTAATTACTGCTATTAGTATTATTATTGTTCATAATTTATATTCGTCATTCTTACTAGTATTATTATTATTGAGAAACTTTAACAAACTCAATAACATTTTTGGCGCAAGAGAAATAATAGTATTAATATTAATGTAATTACTGCTACTACTATTATCATTGTTGATAGTTTATATTCCTCATTCTTACTAGTATAATTAATGTTGCGAAACTTCGAGAAACTTCATGACACTTTTGGTGCAAGAGAAATAATATTTTTTTTCATAGTTATGGTACCGTAGAGTCCTATTCTGTTGTGGGTCCCAATAACGTTCGAGATCACCGTTAACCAAGCAACTGTCGAAGTCGGGCGTTGCTGAAGACAGGTACACACGTAGGGGACACACCGGCTTATGACACGGTCGCGTTGTTGTTTCACCGTTATCGAAACCGACGCGGTTTACTCGCTACTTCTGTTTGCGCTGTGTTCCATGACAATCCTCGTCGGCCAACTGCGCCGGACTGGATCATGACCGATAGGGTACGGACCATCGGGCTTACTGAGCCGTGAGATAGGTGTCCTGTGTTTGATTAGGGACAAAGTTGTGTTGCCGGGGCTTTGAAAGTGTCGGACACTCGTCGCTTTCGTAGAAAGGCAGATATTTCGTCAGGGTTTTTGGCGATAGCATTCGCGAATTTGTTAACCCTTCGCAGCCGAAACTTCTTCGCTGGATATACTTAATGTTTTCCGACGAGATATAGACATTCCTTGAAACCAAGTTGATAAGATATTTTGTTTCAATATTTCACGTATTGATGCATTATACAAAATGCAATATTATATATAAGATTTTATAACTTTGTTATATCAAATGAAATGGTGAGTGAGAGTCACCTCTCGAATCCAAAAAGTTAACATTATATATTGCTTCGTCATCGCGGATAATAATATTAGAATAACGAAGATAATTCTATTGTGCTTCTACAGATTTTAGTATGCCACAATATAATCTATTTCATATTTAATCCTGGAGCAATTATTTAACTCAAATTTATATTTCATCGAATAAATGCTCAACCTATTATGCACTTAATAGCTGAGCATTCATATTGAATCCACCGTTAATTTCTGATTATTCATTTAATGCACGTTCGGAAAACAAGGATTAATCAAATTCTAACGAATCATTAAAGAACATCAAACTTTATTTCCATAAAAACCTAAATCCACTTCCAGTAACCTGTCTTCATTAGCTCGAGCAGCGATAATTAGCCGTAATGAGACAAATTATTTCTCCTGCCGTGATATCCTGTATCTCACTGTCGGTTTTTGTCACAGAGCACCGTTCGCCGTTTCCCTTGATGCCCCATCGATTCCCTTTGCATCCACTACCCTTCCTGTTTACATTCCGAGTGATTTTAACGCGACGTTCAGCTCGCCTGATGAGAACCTCATTCATGCATTCGCGGACTGCGAAGGGATCTTTCAGCTGTTTTCCCAAGAAACGAGGAAATGAAGATTTCAAGGGGTCTCGAGGAACTCGTTAAAATTCCCTTCTCGAAAGGTAGAATTTTCTTCGGCAAAAGTGGGAATGTAAATATGGACAGATTTTTCTTATACTCCGCAGAGTTTTCCAATTACTCAACAGTAATCTTCGCGGGACGCGCGAAAGATTACGTACGACATAATAATCCTAACACTAACGAAGATAAAAATCACGTTACCCCATGGAATGAAGTAAATTTCACCGGGAAGAAGAACGAAGTCGCTAAAATACACGTAACAAGGCGTAATAAAATCCGCAACAAGTTTAAAGCACGGGAAACAAACTTTTTCAACCGTTCTCCCGCGCCCTGCACGCGATATCAAGAACCACGAGGCAGAAAAATAAAATAATTAAACTTTCCGACATAATTACGAACAAACGAGGAAAGGCAAAGAAGCCTCTAGGCGCCGTTCAACAGGCATAATGTAAAACTAGGGGAGAAAGCCATGGTAACCCGTGTATCTTCGTGCAAACAATTTCATCGGTCGATCCGCTGATACCATTATCAAAGAGTGAATATCTCAGAGTCTGTTATAGACTGAACACTCGAAACACGATAAAAATCAGGCAGCACGTTCCCCGAAGCTTCCGTTTTAACGGTTATTAGAAGGCGGAAGTAATAACCGTATAAAATTCATGATCTACAAGCTGTTTCCCTTACGGTTCCCTCTATCTCTCCGTCTCTATCAGCTTTGTCCTCCATTTTAGCGGTGTCGGTCCGTGGTGATCAAACAAAGGACGCCGCGTCGAAATACATTAATTATTCGACAGGTAAGCAGGGGCGGGGGCGGCTCGTAAAGATGTACTCGAAAACGCGGTACCGTTGTCGGATAATCCGCAGATTTAAATGACAATGGGACGAGGGTGGGAAGCGGGGGGCGGAAGCGGCGCGGTGTCCCGCTAACGCTTTCGATCGCCTCGATTTCCATTTCGACTCGCCAGGTTCCCGGTCATTAAATTTCAACCGCGTCGTGTGAAAGCGGCCTTAAGCTCGCCACGCGCGATCAACCTCGAATACGAGGGGCGCGATTCGAATGGCGCCAGCGACACCGCGGTTTCCGGCGAGGACGGTCGCGGTTTTCCGAATTTTAACGTTGGCCGGGGAGGGTCTTGAACGTGTCAATGGGTCTGTCTTGCGAATTAACCGAGGAGTGTTTAATGACGTGTTTAATGTTGTGCTTTCGGCGATTGGGATATTGTTTTGTGAATGACACGGTGATTTCGTGTGTCGCGTTGAGGGTTTTGGTGAATCTGTGGTTGTGGAATGTGATAATGTAGTAATGTAGTGGTATAAGAATGTAGTTATATAATAATCTAATAATTCAATAATATCACTAGGTTTACGGGCATTTATTGTACACTTCATTGTATTATTCCTCGTTTATTTAGATTGTGGAAACTGGAGATTTGATAGTAGGTAATTGGGGCACATGTCAGTGTGATCGCATCAATCAAAATCGGCGTAAACATTTACAAAATAATATTTCTAAAATCCGATATGCGTCAATTTGACGCGTTCCGTAAACCTAGTGATATAATAAGTGATGATACAACAATATAGTAATATAGTAATATAGTAACATAGTAATATAGTAAAATAGTAATATAGTAATATAGTAATATAGTAATATAATAACATAGTAATATAATAATATAGTATTATAGTGATATAATAATATAATAATATAATAATATAACAATATAACAATATAATAATATAATAATATAACGATAATAGTATAAAAATTTAAAATATCGAAGACCATCAACGAAATCTTTCGCAGCCCTCTACAACAATGACCAAAAAACAATCGAGAATTCCCAGGAAAAGATGTCTCCAAGAAAAATTTCCCAAGGATTAAGATATTGAGCAGGCTTCCTCCGGGATCTTCTCAAGAGAGCAAGGCGTGAACTTTTCAATTATCGGTGGCGAATCGAGAGATCGATAGCGAGAGCCTAGGGCGAGGGCACCTAGGACGCGTTCCTCTCCGACGATTACATTATATCCGGAGGGCGGAGGAAGGCGGAATTTTTGCCGCGGGAGGAACACGCTGCCGATGGTATCCAGCGGAGGGACCGCTGGGCCGAGAGATTTCTGAGGACCGTGCTCGCGCTCGCGCGGCCCGGTTTTATTGTACCTTTTATTACAACGTGGTTTCCGGGCCGGCGAGCACACCTAAGCGGCCCGGCACAATTTCATTTTCCTCGGGCACTCGTAAATTCCCGAACGATCCTTCAGCCCTCCTTCCTAACGCGCGCGACCTAAAAATTACTATAATACCGGCCACGTCGATGATTCATTGCGATGAACGGAGGACCCCCGGATCTACACGCTTTGTCCTTTCTGCTCGCGGTATTACGGAAGCGAAAGTACTACTGCAGAGTGGCAGTGATTGATTAATGTTGCACGCTCTTGCGATTGTTTTGCCTTGCAATGCAGTTGAAACTTTGAGTTTGATGCTTTAGGTATTTCGTGAGTTGAGATGTTGATCGTTTGCGAGTTTTCGGTACCTGAGTTTACTAATCAATCAAGTATTGAATAACTTTGAAATTAAACGTGATGTATTAAAGAATCGATCGATCAAATTGACGTGACTACTTATAAATATTGTGATTCAACGTTCATACCTCGTTCTGAATCATTTGAACACTCAAGCATATGTTTCAACTGCCAACTGGTATTTCAATCTCAAATACCAATACTCTTCCACAAATATAAAACTAAGAAATTAGGCAACACGATAAAACTACACCAATCCCAACATCACAAATTACTTATAGATACAGTGATTCAACATTCAATAC